TTTCACCATGTTGCCCAGGCTGCTCTTGAACTCCTGACCTCAAATGATCTACCTGCCTCAGCCTCCCAAAGTGCTGGGATTACAGGCATGAGCCACCACACTGTGCCAAAACACTGTTTCATACTCAAATCAGCATATCCTAGAACCTTGTTGTCAGCATTATTCTCCCAACTCCACCAGTTCGTTTTATTCAGATTTCCCTAAAGAAAAATGTTGGAGATGGGAGGAGTGGATAGAGGGATTCAGAGCCACAGCCAAGTCCTCAGCATCACAAGCCCTTGGTCTGATAGCCTTCTGAGCAGCACACCTTGGCCATACCAGTCAGCCACATCTTCCTCCCCTCACACATGTCACCCCCACTTCATGCCTCATATTTCACAGTACCACACCACAGCTGGGAGGTCCCAGGCAAAGGAACTGGAGAATCAACAGTAGAATACATGGTTTTCATCTTTCATCTGCAGATGGGAAATGTGCAGCTCCTAGAGGATTTAGTTGGAAGTGAAGAAATCCAGCAGAGCAGTAAAGTGTGGAGGCAGAGCAGCAGGGGTAAACGTACACTGGGAGTAAGTTTGTGTTGCCCTTGGCACTTGGCTCAGGAAACAAATCACTCTGAAAACAGAAAAGAACTCCAGAGCAGGAATCCATGGACATGAGTTCTGGTAGCTCCAGAAATTGCAGCCTAGTTGCCCTCTCATTACACAGTCTTTCTGAGCCTAGTCTCACATCTGTAAACAGGGGTGATAATAAAACCCACTGCCTGCCAGAGAGTATCATGGGAGTCAAATAACATAGGAAAGTACCTTGTAACCATATTTGTAGCACTATTTAACTGTGAGGTATGATTATTCATTGATTCATTCATTTAACAGATCTTTGTGGAATGCATATCATAAGTCAGGCATTGTGCAAGGCACTAAATATACTATTGAACAAGCTTAAATACCTGCCCTCAAGGAGCTTATGGTCTAATGGGAGGAGAAAGGGAAGAAAGTAGATCATTATAATATCACATGAGGAGAGTGCAAGTGATAAAGGTACAGTGGGAGGGAGCAAGCAAACCAGAAGAAGTACAAAAAGAGCTGAAAGCTTTTTTGGAGGAGGTTTAGAAAACATACGTAATGGGCCAGGCATGGTGGCTCACGCCTGTAATCCCAGCACTTTGGGAGGTCGAGGCAGGCAGATTACCTGAGATCAGGAGTTCAAGACCAGTCTGGCCAACAGGGCAAAACCCCGTCTCTATTTTAAAAAATACAAAATTTAGCTGGGTGTGGTGGCTGGCACCTGTAATCCCAGGTACTCAGGAGGCTGAGGCAGGGAGAATCGCTTGAACCTGAGAGGCCGAGGTTGCAGTGAGTGGAAATCACACCACTGAACTCCAGCTTGGGTGACAGAGTGAGATTCTGTCTCCAAAAACAAAACAAAAAAAAAAGTATCCATAATGAAGATTCAGCACATTTCATGAAGAGCGATTCCTAAATCAACTCCAAAATAACTTCAACAAATTGCTTTGTTGTGGGCTGTGAATTCTCCTTGGTTCTAATAAAAACTCGTATCTCCTAAACCATTAGAAAAGAGTCTTTGATATGGAGTCATTATATACACCCATTAGCTTTGAAGAAAGATGAAATTAATGGAGAGAAAAATCAGTGGTATCTTAATTAGAAATATTTTATTGTTACAGCTTGTGTTTAAACACCAGAAGAAGAATTTATTCCA